GGAGCTCAGGCTTGTGCGATAAAAACTGTGGAGATTGTCCACATGCTGATGCGAAGAGTTTCAGGCTCCAGGCTGATTGCCACATTAGATCCTTGTGCTTTTGGGTCAAGGTAAGGGGTAGAGAGCAGAGGAATGCTGAGGGTCCGAAGGAGTGGGGGTGGGGGGTGCTGAGAGGAGGAGTGACCCAGGGGGAAGAGGCCTGGAGGTAGTGAAGATGGAATGCTGAAGTCTGCAGAATTTATCCGAAGAGGATGCCAGTGAGCTGCGTTTGCCTTGTCTAGTTTGACCACTGAGGAACTATAGCTGAGTCCAGGCCCCTGGGCTGCCTGTAAGGGTCTCCAAGGCTACAGTGTCTTTCTGGAGAGTTGCAAGTCAGAGCACTTCTGGCCCCTTCCGTCTGACATGGGTAGTGAAAAGGTTTGCGGGTGGAGTGGGTGGAGAGAGATGGTATGGTTCCTCTACCTCAGAGGTAAATAGCAACCCTCACTAAACACTGCTCCATTCTATCCCTCAAATCTGTCTTCGCCTTGAGCTCTGAAAATGTGAATGAGATCACACTATGCCTGGATAAGGACCATCTGATTGTTTCCCAGTGCTGTTAGAATCAAATCCTAGCTCCTTCTTTCAAAATGCTGTCTGATCTGGTCTTTGCTTCTCTTTTGATGCCATCTCATATTTCTCACTTCATTTGTCCATGCATCTGTTCTTCCTTCCACTCACTCATCCACTCATCCATCCATCCATCCATCCATCCACCCATCCATCCATCCATCCATCCATGCATGCATGCATGCATGCATGCATCCATTTGCTTTGACTCAGACACAGTTGCTTTCTTGGTATTCCTTAAGTGCCTTTAGTTCATTCCTTCTCTACATTGTTTTCCTTCTGTGGGAATACTCTCCCTCACACCCACACAGCTCACTTCTTCCCTTCCTTTATATGGGTCTCTCTTCTAATGTCACTTTCTCCAACAGAAATCTCCTTCACCATTCAGGATTGTGCCTGGAAGGGGATTTTAAGGGCTTCTGAAGTATGACCCTCTGTTTCTTGATCTGAGCCTTCTAAGACTTTTGTGTTCACCATATTAATATTCAGTCAGCCATAAACTAATACACTTCTCTGTGTGTATGTTATGCTTCAAGAGAAACTTGAAAATAAATACCCTCATGCCCATCTCTCTCTTCTTACTTTGCTTTATTTTTCATCATGACACTTATCACTACCTGACATTGTCTTATATTCTTTTTTTTTTTTTAAGATTTTATTTACGTATTTGAGAAAGACTGTGGGGGAGAGAGAGAGCAAGCGAGCATGAGAGTGGGGAGGGTCAGAGGGAAAAGCTGACTCCCCGCTGAGCAGAGCCAGACATGGGGCTCAATCCTGGGACTCTGAGATCATGACCTGAGCCTAAGGCAGACCTTACCTAAGGCAGACACTTAACCCACTGAGCCACCCAGGCACCCCATTGTCTTATATTATTGTTTCCCTTGTCTTTCATCCCACGTCACATGTAAATTACATGAGGCTAGGGACTCAATCTAGTTTTCTGCTCTGTACCCAGTGCTTAGTCCCATGGCTGTCATGTAGGAGGAAATCAATCATTGTTGAATGAATGCATGAGTAACTGGTTGGATACCTTAAGCAACTAGAAGGTGTAACATAGAAACTGGGAGCAGGCCATCTATTTCATCTGGCTCTTTAAGGGTCTGAGACAGCCCTCAGCTCCCACAAGATCTCTTCTTTCCTCTTGGAAACATCTGGCCTGCAGTCTTGACTTCATGACTCAGAGCCTGGTTCCTTTCCTGTAGTTGCCTCTTAACACATTGGTCTTATATGTGAACCTTATCACCAAAGACCGAGCTTAGAGCATCCATGGCATGCCAAATCAGTTGCCAAATAACAAAATGTCTTAGAAAAGACTTGGGCCGATGAGTCATTCCCCCCAAATTCTCCTTAATCCACAGTGAGTGCAGTGGGTAAGGACACCAGCTTTGAGGTCCAGAAACCTGGGTTTCAATCTTATTTCTACTTTGCTCTAACCATGTGATCTTAGACAACGTACTTAGCTAGCTAAGCCTCAGTTCCTCATTCAGATAATAGGACAGCCTTCTGGGTTTGTTCTGAGGATTAAATGAGGTGCTGTGCATCGAGCCCTTGGCACAATTTTTTTTTTAATTTTTTTTATTTTTATTGTTATGTTAACCACCATACATTGCATCATTAGTTTTTGATGTAGTGTTCCATGATTCATTGTTTGTGCATAACACCCAGTGCTCTACGCAGAACGTGCCCTCTTTAATACCCATCACCAGGCTAACCCATCCCCCCACCCCCCTCCCCTCTAGAACCCTCAGTTTGTTTTTCAGAGTCCATCGTCTCTAATGGTTCGTCTCCCCCTCCGACTTACTCCCCTTCATTCTTCCCCTCCTGCTATCTTCTTCTTCTTCTTCTTTTTTTTTTCTTAACATATATTGCATTATTTGTTTCAGAAGTACAGATCCGTGATTCATCAGTCTTGTACAATTCACAGTGCTCACCATAACACTTGGCACAATTTTTGACACGCCAGGTGCTGTTAAGAATGTTTGAAGTTCTTAAGCATTCAGTCACTGTTAGTTCCCACAATGTTATTATTGATTATTATGATATCTGAGTCCCTCTTAAGATATTATAATGCCACATCCCTTTCTACTTTGTACCTTTGGATCTCACTTCATGTGAAGTGGATTCCTGGTCCTGGGTTCCATGGGTCCCTCACCATGCATCTGTCTTCACATGAAGTATGATATTTCGAGAAATAAACTTCTGATTTATTTTCTTATATCTTAAACAAAACAGCATGTTTGGAGGTACTTGGAAAACCATAAAGGGCTTCAGAGATATATACTTGTGCACTCAGAGACTTCCGTTTGTCTGTTTGTGTGTTAGCTTCTTTTGGAGACAGTGTGATAGAACAGGACTCCTTTGGGTGTTGGTTGGAGTGACAGCAAGTGATCATTTAACTTTTGAAAGACTCAGTTTCCCCATTTGGGGATTAGGGATAATAACAAGGTCCACCTACAGAATGATTTTGTGTGTCCTTGGAGGTAGTAGATAGGAAATCACTTACAGGAAATATGGCAGAAATTCAAATGTCTTCCCCCTACAACTCCCCTTCTTCTCCATCTCATTTGTGATTTAATTATATCTATATAATATAATCTATACATCTATTTAATTATATCTCATCTCACTTATCCAAACTTTTTCCAAATACCTTTTTAAAATTTTTTTTTTTTTTTTTTTTTACTAATATAGAGGAATTTCTTTAAAAAGTTTTTCTGCCTTGCCTTTACTGGCCTTCTTATCAGCTTTTGTCCTGAAGACCCGAGGAGGCCCCATGCGATGGACAATCACATGCAAAGATTCTGCACTGAGCCTTGAGCTGCTCCACATATATATTCTCTTGTTGTTTGGTGCTATTCTCATTCCCTTAAGCTGCAGCTTTTCCACACACAGCACATTAGGCCATTGTAATCATAGCAGCTGATTGATTTTAAATCATGGGTGTCCCCATTGCTCAGAAAACATCCAGTAAGCACTGGTTGACTGACTTCTGAGTTACAAAATTAATGTGTCTGGAAAGCAACAGGATAAGCGTATGCTATGTTTTTGGTTTTGATTTTATATTTTTAGTTGTCTAGAGAAGTGGATTTTTTTAACCCCTTTAAATATCCTGGAGTTGACTCTCCTCTCTTATAGTCAGTGGACCTCTGCAAAATCGTGGTCAAACTGTGGTCTGGTTTGGCAGGATCAGCAGCAGGTGTAAGCTTTTTAGAAATACATAATCTTGGGTCTTAGCCCAGCCCACTAAATCAGAAATCAGAATCTTCATTACCACACCAACCCCATGATTGTGACACACTAGAAGAGCTATTTTGTAGTTCTGTGGTCCTGGCTGGATCCAGCAGGACTTAGGCCCAGCTTCAGCCTTTTAAGGCATTGGGAACCTCTGGGCTCTTGGGTGACATGCAGAGGAGAAATGGCACAACTCTTTAGAAGACCACCCTCTGAGGTCGGATAAGACCTTTATATCTGGGGAAACTGCTTCTTTGCCTGGTGCCAGATGCCTTTGGCCTGACCTCATTTTCCCTGTCTCTGTAGATCTGTGGTCCCTCTGGATACCAATCACCAGAGCCGCAATGTTATCTCTTCTGATGCCCCAAAAACCTCCTTAAGAGTTTGCTGACTGATTCAGTTAGAGAAATCTAAGTATCAAGAAAGGAAGCACAAATTAGTTTGTTTTTGCCTTGCTTATCTGTCTAGAGAAAGCATCTCTGCTCTTTCAAATGTCTGGTAAGTGGACTTGGTTATCCTCTTCAAGCAAATACGTGGTTAAGCAGTGGGAGTTGTGGGTTGTTGGAGAGTGTGCCATCTGCCAACAAATCCCTTGAGGTTCTCTTTTCCATCTTGATGACAGAAATTTTCCAAGACATGGAACCTCCAAGTTTATGTTTGAGAATCCCTGGTTCAGGTTTCTCTTCTTTGCTCCCCATGAAGATGTGGCCTGTGTAGAAGTTGGAGTGTCTGAGAAGGTGTTGGTAATGACTGGGATAGGGGATCAGCAGAGCTATCCTTTGGTATCAGTTTATTACTAACAGGGTTGTTGGTTTGTCAGCTTGATTTTTCTATTCATTCAACCCTTCCTCATTCAGCAGATAGATTTTAAATTCACAGCATTGTGCCTCTGGGGCCATTCTTCCTGGGTTTGCATCCTGGCTTCTCATTTAGCAGCTATGAGGCCTCTGACAAGTTATTTAACCTCCATGTACCTCAGTTTCCTCATTTATAAAATGGGGTTAATAAAAGGATCCATTTCAAAAAAAATATAAAAGGATCCATTTCATAGCTTTTTTTTTCTGAGGATTTAGTGAATTAATATTTCCATATATTAACTGAAACATTCTTGGTGCCTAGTGGGCACCGTTTAAGTATTTGCTGTTGTGTTAATACTGTAGGTTGGGCACATTGCTAGGTAGCAGCATAGAGCAAGGGCCCTTTCCTGACAGGGTGCACCTCCGCTGGGGAGATGAGCAGTACACCACGTTGTACCAGTGCGATATTTATGAGACGTGCAGGGAAAGAGACATGCAGGGTGCAGTGAGGGTGAATTCAGGTGCATCTGGCCCACTTGGGGCATGTCCTGGAAGTTGTCCCTAAGAGGTGACCTTTGGGCTGGGCTTCAGGAGGCTAGGGGAGAGCCCCAAGAGGATGGAAGTAAGCCAATGTGGCTGGAGGGCCGACAGTGGGGTGTGGGGAAGGCCCAGAGCTGAGAAGACAGGTAGATCATCAGATAGAAATTCTTCCTTAGGAATTCTCAACGTTTAATGAACTTCAGAATTGCCTGGAGAAGCTGCTTAAAAATGCAGAACCTCTGGAGGTTCTGATTCAGGGGATCTGGGTTGGAAGTCTTCATTTTAACGAGAATCTTGGGGTGGTTGACATAGCAGATTCATAGAAGATAGTGCCGATAGCACACTGAGGCCCTGTGAGAGATACGTGTTTTTATCTTAATCTTGAGAGAATTGGAGAACCACTCAAGAAGTTCTTTGGTATAATTGTGGTACAATTTCCATACAGTGCACATTCACATTTTTAGGTTCTATGGGTTTTAGCAATGTTAACTAATAATTAAATAATAGTTATGTAACTAACAACCTGTCACAATCAAGATCTAGAGTATTTCCATCAGCCCCAAAGTTCTCTCATGCCCTTGACTAAAAAGTCAGGCCCTTCTTTCTCTCCCAGCCCCTGGCAATTCCTCATCAGTTTTTCTCCACAGACTTTGCCCTTTTCTGAGTGTCATATGAATGGAATCATACAGCGTGTAGTCTTTTGTGTCTGGCCTCTTTCACTTAGCATGATGCTTTTGCCATCAATCCATGTTATTTCATGTGTCAGTAGTTTATTTCTTTTTATTTATGAATAATATTAAATTGAATGTGTTTATCAGTTTGTTTATCCATTCAACGGTTGATGGACATTTAAGCTATTTCCAGTTTTTAGAGATTGTGAATAAATGTGATATAAACATTCTTATGCAGTTATTTGTGTAGACATGTTTTATTTCTCTTGCATAAATACCTACTAGTGGAATTGTTCTATCATATAGGATGTACATGTTTAATTTTTAAGAAACTGCCAAACTGTCTTCAAATTGGCTTTGTATTCCCATGAGTAATGAGCGAGAGATGCTGTTAGTCTGTATCTTTACCAGCACATGGTATTATCAGTTAAAAAAAATTTTTTTAGGGCGCCTGGGTGGCTCAGATGGTTAAGCGTCTGCCTTTGGCTCAGGTCATGATCCCACAGTCCTGGGATCGAGTCCCACATCGGGCTCCCTGCTCCTTGGGAGCCTGCCTCTCTCTCTCTCTCTGTGTCTCTCATGAATAAATAAATAAAATCTTTAAAAAAAAATTTTTTTTAGCTATTTATTATGGTTTGAATTTGCAATTTCCCAGTTGCTAATGACATTGAGCATCTTTTCATGTGTTTATTTATCATGCATTCTTAGATTTTCTTTGGTGAAGTGTTTGTTAATGCATTTTGACCATTTCAAAAAGATTGTATTGTTTTATTCTTATTGAATTTTGAAAGTTAAGTATTCTAGTTATAAGTCCTATATCAGTGGTATGTTTGCAAATATTTTCTTCTAGTCTATGACTTGTCTTTTCATCTTACTAATACTGTCTTTCAAAAAGCAGAAGTTTTAAACTTTATAAAGTCCAATTTATAATTGTTTTTTCTTTTATAGTTCATGGTTTTTGTGTTTTATCTAAGAAATCTTTGCCTAACCCAAGGTTGTAGAGATTTATCTGTTAGAAGTTTTATGGTTTTAGGTTTTAAATTTAGGTCAATGATCCATTTACATTTACATCTGTCATCTAGCTTTGAAGCATAGTATGGGTCATGATTCTTATCAATGTACCTTTATTAAAAAAATCAATTGACCACATATATTTGGGTCTATTTTGGGAATTCTCTTCTACTTCATTAATCTATATGTTCATATTTTCATCAATACCATAATATAGGGGTTGGCAAACTGTGACCTGTTGGCCAAATTTATCCTTCTACCTATTTTTGTAAATAAAGTTTTATTAGAACACAGTCATACTCATTTATTTAAGGATCTTCTGTGGCTGCTTTTGCTCTATAGTAGGTGTGACAGAGCCTGTATGGCCTGCAAAGCCTAAAATATTTCTGTATGGCCTTTTATATGAAATGTTGTTGACCCCTACTCTAATGTTTTAATTACTCTACTTTTATAGTAATTCTGAAAATCAGATAGTGTGAGTCATCAAACTTTGTCCTTTTTCCAAATTATTTTAGCTTTTCTAGGTTCTTGCTTTTTCATTTCATATAACTTTTAGAACCAATTTGCCAGTTTTTAACAAGAACCTGGTGGGATTTTGATTAAGATTGCATTGAATCTTTAGATCAATTTGGGGAGAATTAAAAATATTAAATCTTCTGTACTAAACATAGTACATTTTCCATTTATTATTATTATTTTTTATTTCTCTCATTAATATTTCATAGTGTTCAGCATACAAATCTAATACTTATTATGTTAGCTTTATCCCTAAGTATTTCATGTTTTTGGATGTTATCATAAATGGTACATTAAAAAAATTCAATTTCCAAGTGTTCATTGCTAGTGTATAGAAATACAATTGAGTTTTTCACATTGATCTTATTTCCTGTGACCTTGTTATACTCACAAATACATTCTAGTGGCTTTTTTGTAGATTCTTTGTGATTTTCTACTCAGTCATGACATCTATAAATAATTACAGTTTTCTTTCTTTACAGTGTGTATGCCTTTTATTTCTTATTTTTCCATATTGTACTGTCTAGGACTTCAAGTATAATATTGAATGGAGTGGTAAGAGTGGACATCTTTGCCTTGTTTCCGATTTAGGGGGAAACTAAAATGTTTTAAACAAGGAGCCGATATTATCTGATTTTAATTTTGTATAGCAGCATTCAGGCTCATGTGATTAGTTCCTGCCTGTTTCAAAGGGATGATACTGTGCATGTATATCTCCTGTATCAGTTAGCTTTCATCATAATAATGCTGTGTAACAAATAACTACAATATCTCAGTGGCATACACATCAATAGACATTTAGTTTTTGTTCTGTATCTGTGGATTAGCTGATACTTAGGGACTCTAGGCTGGGCTAGGCTCCAAGCTGTGTGCTGGGTTAAGTTTATTCCACATGTTTCTCATCCTCCTTGGACTGTGTCTACCATGGGCAGAGTTTTCTTTTGTGTAAGGCAGGAGCACAAGAGGGCAAGCCCAGCTGTGACATATGTTTTAAATGGTATTATGGTATTATGTCTGTTATTATGTCTGGTATTATTTCTGTTAACATCCCATTGGCCAAAGAAGTCACATGATCAAGCCTAAGGTCAAGTGGAGGGAGTATAACTTGCCCCACCATGAAGCTATGGTGGGGAAGTGGATGAATAATATTACTCCAGGGTAGCAAAGAACTGGGGTCAATAATTCCATCATCATCTCTCTTTTTTTTTTTAATTTAAATTTAATTAGCCAAGACATAGTACATCATTAGTTTCAGATGTAGTGTTCAGAAATTCATCAGTTGCATATAACACTCAGGGCTCATCACATCATGTGTCCTCCTTAATACCCATCACTCAGTTACCCCATCCCCCCATGCATCTCCCCTTCTGCAACCCTCAGTTTGTTTCCCAGAGTTAAGAATCTCTCATGGTTTGTCTCCCTCTCTGACTTCTTCCCATTTAGTTTTCCCTCCCTTTCCCTCTGATCCTCCACACTGTTTCTTATATTCCACATATGAGTGAAACCATATGATATACACGATGGAATATTACTCAGTCATTAGAAAGGATGAATACTTACCATTTACATCGACATGGATGGAACTGGAGGGGATCATGCTAAGTAAAATAAGTCAATAGGAGAAAGCCATCATCATATATCTTAAATGAGGAAGGAGTCAAACTGCATGTGGTAGGCAGGCTGGGAGGATTTTAAGGCCTGGGAGAGTGTCTGCCTTACTTCTATCTGTATTCATTGGAATAGCATAAAATGCCTGGCTCATCATAAGTGCTTAACACATTTTTGTTGAATGAATGACTGGCATTTGTTAGTGGTTCACAAGTTAGCTTATTTTCTACTGCTAGTCAGGAGATTCTTGGTCCAACATGAACTTTACTTCTTATCTGTGTTTATACATCAGCTCATTTGGCTCCAGAAAACTACTTTTCAATGACAGTAAAAAGGATAAGAAAAAAAAAAAAATAACACCTTTTGTGTGAGGGTAGGCTGTTCTCATTGGAAAATGCCTGGAAAGAGCCCAGAGTGAAAATAAGGACACCTGGGTTTGTGTTCTGGTTCTCTTCATTAGCTGCATAACACCAATCAATAATGTAGTTTTATCTGTAAAATGTAAAATTCTTTACCATTGTTTGCTCTGGCCACCTAACAGGACTTTTGTGATGAGGTATATGAGACATATGAAATGTATCTACATGATATATATGAAATGGTAAAGTTTATGAAATCATAAAGAGCTATAACTATGAAAGGCTATAAACTCTAGGGACTTGCTATTCTGACATTAACAGGTTATAGCGTTGATGGGGAGATAGTCTCATCTCTGAGAACAGCAACACTCTGAGGTTCTGATGCTTCAAGGGAGGAGCCTCATAGCTTTCAATACTCTTTTTACAAAATCACAGCCTTTTATTTTCCCACCCCTTGCTTAACGCTCTCTGTGATTTCCCTTTCTCCTCAGGGAAACTTCCACCTCTCTTTCTATCCTCACATCACCTTCTCACCCTCTGTGCTTCAGCCACATGAGCTTCTTTCCTCAAATGTATCAAATGCTCTGTCTTATCTCTCCAGCTAGGCATATGCTGCTGTTTCTGCATGAAATGTGCTCCCACCCTTTACCCTGAACATTGCCAAATCCCACTCACCTTTCAGATCTCAGCTCCATCAGCAAATCTTGCCTGTTCCCCCCATCTAAGTCAGTCATTCTTTTTCTTCTCTTTAAATTTTTTTATTGTTATGTTAATCACCATACATTACATCATTAGTTTTTGAGGTA